GGGGTCCCGCTGGGGCAGCCTGTGCGTGCGCTCGGGTTCCAGCCTCAGTGGTGACGGGATTGGCACTGCACCGCCTCCATTCCCGAGACCGCTCTGCAGACAGGCCCGGGGAACGGAGAGGAGGCGGGGACTTCGGTGGGGCCGAGGCATGGCGGTCAGAACCAGGGGGAGGCCGCATGGTGGGGCCCCTTGTCCCGTGTTATGCCTGGACCCGGGGGAGTGGGAGTGCTGCGATGGGGGTAGAGGCGGTGCATCCCTGGCTGCCGAGGGGACACCCCCCCCCCCCATAGACCACACACAGGCTGCAGCTCTACCTGTGGCCTCTCACAGGGACCCAGGTTGAAACCAAGTCCCTGCAGCTCTGCGGGGGCCACACGCCCTGGTGCACGTCTGCAGGCTGTTACCACCCACGTGGTCTGTCGGGAGCCTCTGGACCGGGTGGGAGGGCGGCTGAAGCTGTGCCAGAATTGACCATCTATGTCTGTTCCGAGTATAACTGCTACCCTTTTCCCTCAGTAAAAAGACAGTTAACTTTCCTGGGAGTGAGGCTGAAGGTCCATACGGGCCCTGGTGTGCCAAGGGCCCACCCCACCTGCCTGCCTCAGTGTCCCCACCACGTGGGGGTGTCACACTGAGGGGGGAACTCAGGAGGGCGCCACACACGGGCAGAGCCCCATCCTGTCTCCTCCGAACTGTCATTTCCGTCTCCTCCTGTCAGGGCAGTGAGGACATAAAGGCTCCTGGAAGCTGGACTTTGGTAACAGGCCAGGCCAGTGCTGAGGCCGGGCTGTGAACCTGCAGCAGGGCAGACGGGAGGAGCGTGGCTGGGGAGCCATCGCTCTGTCTCCCCTCTCAGACCTCCACCTCCTGTGGGTTGGCCACCTGCAGGGAGCCGGCCAGCCCCCCAACCCCCCCTCCTGCCCTCACAGCCAGCAGACCAGAGTGTGGGGGTGGAAGTGAGCTGTCTGCATGCTGGGCCCGGCTCAGCTGTGCCCAACTCACACCCCCTCTCTGTTTCCCCAGGTCATGCGGTGCCCCCTCCTGCCAGGCTGCCTACCTTGCTCTTAACCCCAAACAGCCGGTGACGGTAAAAGTGTCCCTGGTCTTTCTGGGTCAAGGTGGTGAACTGAACCCAACTCAGAAGCCTACTGAGACCACACAGGAGAGTGTTTAAGACAAACCCTGAAAATGAGGATGGGGAAGGAGCCCCATAGCAAGGGCATTCTGCACCGAAGTGGAAATGGTGAGAGAGTCGTTTCTGGGGGATCCCCACTCCCTAAGCCCCCACACAACAGCCCCATCTAATGATGCTGCTGGGAAGAGCTGACAAGCCCAGCCATGCACGCGCTCAGAGCTCCCCTCCACTGAGGATGAGGATGGAGAAGGAGCCCATAGCAAGGGCATTCTGCACCGAAGTGGAAATGGTGAGAGTCGTTTCTGGGGGATCCCCACTCCCTGAGAAAAGACCTAAGCCCCCACACAACAGTCCCATCTAATGATGCTGCTGGGAAGAGCTGACAAGCTCAGCCATGCACACGCTCAGAGCTCCCCTCCCGTCGGTGATGAAGAAAGACCACAGCTCTTTCTCTCAGCTGGCAGCCAGGGGTTCTCGGCCTCAGAAGAAACCAGACAGACAGGTAGATGCATTTTGGGATTGAATAGGTCGTGTTCCAGCCACTTGATGTATGGAAGCAAAATTGGCCTCACCCCGGTCAGATTTTAAAAACGAGTACATTGCCTACTGAGATAAACTAAAAATAAAGGTCAGCTTACTAGTTCTGGCCCCCAAAGTAAGGAAGAGGCAGAGCACGTCCCATAAGCCTGGACAACCCCCCCATCCTTCACCTTGCAGTACAGTTCTATCTGAAGGTGTGTCAGACTCGGGATGTAAATCATGGGGCAGTTTCCTCATCGGTAAACGTGCCCACCGGGGGAGGGCGCCCCGCGGAGGTCGAGAGAGGGACCAGCACCCTCCTCGCTGGAGAAAGCCCACGGGTCAGGAGGGCCGTCCTAGCCGGACCCCGCTTCCTTGTGCGACCACCCGGAGACGAGTCTCTGCCGAACTAGTACACGACCCGGGCCTCCGCGCAGGGCGGGACGACGCTCCCGCTGTTGCCTTAGAAACTGCTGCTGGCGCGCGGACGCTGGAACGCCGTTACCAAGGCGACGCCTCGGCGCCCAGAAAGGAGCCTCTTGCAGCCGCGCTGGGGATGGGGCCTGCGCAGTGGGCCAGCTCTGATTGGTCGAAAAAGCAGGTCTCTCACCTCGCTTACCAATAGGGCTCCGGTCCGTTTTGCACATGCGCAGGATTTTAACGGCCCATCTGGGTAGTTGGTGGGTCCTAAGACCCGGATGCAAAAAGGACGACCGCCAGTGAGGGAGGGGAGTCCCGCGAACTGAGCTGCTCTGCAGACTCCTCTTCCGGAGGACGGGAGCATGAGATGTCGCCCGTCCTTGCTTACGGAGGCTCATGGGAAATGTAGTCCATAAGGAGGGTGGTGCCTTCGGAGCAGGGGCCTGATTGGCCACAGCGACGTCACCAGGGCAACGAACGGAGGGGCGGGGCGGGGCCTTCAGCAAAAGGTGGGCGGGGCGTCGCGG